TCTTTGAGACTGGAGCTTGGGAACCAACATCCAACGACATCATCAAGAGCATGATGAAATGGCAGATGGTCTATCCTACGCCAAAGTGGGTCTTTGCAGACGCTGCCAGATACTACTCCAGTGAGGAGTACATGGACTACCTCAACCGAGCAGGAGTTGGTTTGACGATAGCACCTGCCGAAGCTCACTGGATTATGGGATTTGAGGAGAGTGCAATCAACATTGCAAAGGGAACAGTGGCACGACTTCTCCGAGAAGGTAGCAAGTTTTCTGTTCCCGACCTGTTCTCTCTTGCGGCTGCATCAATGAATGCTCATGTGGGACCCAGCGGCTTCAGCGCATTTCAATGGGCTTTTGGAGCTGGTGGTGGACCCCTGGACGACGAGAAGTTGCTGGTCGGAGTTCAACCTGGGAAGTCCTTCCAAGGACTGGTGAAAGAGCGCGAGCGTGCCAAGATTGCCTTTGAACGAGAACGAGCTGCTGAACGTTTCTCGAAACTGGCAAATGCAACTGGACGCCAAGCATCCCAGTACAAGCCAGGGCAACTTGTGATGCTGTGGAGACAGAGAGTGAAACCTGGCAAGGTAAAGGGATCCTGGACTGGACCAGTCCGCCTCATCATGATGGAGGGCACGACTGCATGGCTTTCCAGTGGATCAACGCTCATCCGCGCCAAGAGCAACCAGATCCGTCCTGTCTCAAGCCGCGAGGAGCTGACTGCAATTATGGAGGGCACAGCGATTTATCGCACACCTGTCACTGTGGAGAACCTGATGAAAGCCTTCCAAGGGAGGTACTACAAGGACGTTGCTGGGAATGTTCCAAGTGATGATCTACAACGACAAGACCTTGGACCTTCTCAAGTACTTCAAGAACCAGCACAGCGTGGCACCGACTCTTGGACCCTGGTCGAGGAGAACGGCATCCGCTTCCTTGTGAGGAAACATGTTCTACCACGACTCGCACTCTTCAACCCCTTGAGATCAACCAACTGTCCAGTGTCTCTGGATGAGTTGACAGGCAACCGCATCACCACAGTTCAAAACGTGGCTGGAGGAGAACCTGCAACAATCAAGGACACCGTGGACATCCAACGAAATCTCCAAGACCGATGGACTGGAGAAACCAGATTCGAACTTCTACCTCAACCTGGACCAGCACCAAAGCGACTTCGAGTTCCTGCACCAAAAGGTGAGAAGCGCAAAGCAGAGGACGAGAAGCCTGCTGCGGAGGAGGAAGATGAGATTGAAGACCATCCTGGCGATCCTCAAGATGAACCAGCGCGTGGATCCGATGATCCCCCATCAACGCTGACAAGAGCTCTTCATTCCCGAGGACCTGATGTTTTGGATGGGATGCCCATCAAGAGCACCTCAGGAGCTTACAGATGCGCTGCTCCTGGCTGTACACTACCTGGTGGACATCAAGGCCTTCACAGAGATGACCAAGAGCGAGAGTTCATCTACGACGCCAAGGAGAACCAGCAGATGCAAGTGAATGACCCGGAGGAGGACCCCGCTATTCCGTCTTCTTCGTCTACCACAAGTGAGGAGCTGCTTCCAGATGATGATGATGGACAGCCAGATGGACGAGATGGCAACAACGAGAAGGAGGATGACGACTTCTTCATCGCCGTCACTGTGGGCTGCGATGAGCAGGACTACAACTGGCTGGCAAAGCACCGGCGCAAAGGCGCGGTATGGCTGAGCAAGAAGATGAGTGAGAAGTCAAAAGAAGTAGACTGGAAGAGACTTCCACTCTCAGAGAAGAAGGAGTTTGACGTTGCTCAGGCCAAGGAGATCAGCAATGTCATCATCAGCAAAGCTCTGAGAAACCTCACCAAGGCTGAGCTGGACAAGCTGGATGAGAACAAAGTAATGTCCATGCGGTGGGTTTTGACAAGGAAGACTGATGGAACAGCAAAGGCACGCCTAGTCATTTTGGGCTTCATGGCGCACAACCTGACCGAAGTGGCGACGGCAAGCCCGACACTTTCAAAGGTGGGACGAAACCTTGTGCTCACCCTGTCCTCCAACCTGAAGTTTGTGGTTCGTGGCGGAGACGTCACATCAGCATTTCTCCAAACGGGGATATCCTTGGAAGATGAGGAGTTGACGATTTGGGCACCGCCCGAACTGGCCGCTATGTTTGGAGCCGAGTATGGTGAACAGAAAGCTCTTCGAGTTTGCGAAGCTTTCTATGGCTTGGTCCATGCACCGCGCAAGTGGTATGAGCGCTGTGTACAGGTGATGAAATCTCTTGGATGGCGACAGCTTCAAGGTGACAAATGTGTCTACGTGCTCCTGGACCCCGAGACTGGCAAGATTTGCGGACTGGCTGGACTGCATGTGGATGATTTCCTGCTGTCCGGCGATCCCAATTCCACTTTCTTCGACAATGCCCAAGCAGCTTTGCTAAAGGCATTCAGATGGGGCAAATGGGAGACTGAGGAGTTCACTTTTGCTGGATGCCGCATCCGACAAGCTGAAGATTTCAGCATCACCTTGGACCAGGAGGACTACAACAAATGGATTGAAGAGATCAAGATCGACGCCACCCGATCTCGACGAGCTCTACTACTTCCTGCCGAAGTATCAGCTTTGAGAGGAGCCCTTGGAACAATCAGCTGGAGGGCGACGCAGACAGCGCCCCAGTACCTGGCTGACACCAGCCTACTTCTTTCAGAAGTTTCCAAAGGCACCGTGGAGACGCTCTACAAGGTGAACAAGCTGATCAGAGAGATGCGAGCCAATGCATCACAGGGACTGCTATTCCCTAGCTGGGGGAAAGAGATCAAGGAGCTGGCAGTGATCGTATGGGCCGACGCTTCACAGCACAACAGGCCCGACAAGTCTTCAACCATTGGCATCCTGGCCGGCATCGGACCTCGTGAGATGATCGATGGCGAAGAGCACCAACTTGCCATTGTTCAGTGGAAATCTGGGAAAACACCCAGACAGTGTTTAGGCTCAAACGGAGCTGAAGTCCAAGCTGTGACAATTGGCGAGGACATTTGCTGGAATCTACGACTTCTACTTGCTGAACTAGCTGGAGAAGAAGTTCGGAGGGACAACCTACATGAGATTGTCAAGGTGATCGATGGCGCCGTGGTCATGGACACACGTGGCATCTATGATGCGATCACTCGCAACCTCAGCCCTCTTCATGGACTTCGTGAAGCCAGAGCTGGATATGAGTTGACACTAGCGGTGAACCAGGGCATCCAATCAGGTGTCCAATTCCGCTGGGTCAATGGGTTAGCCCAACTGGCTGACGCAATGACGAAGGCCTCCAACCGCAAGATCCTGTTGCACCTCTTTGGACAAAAGCAACACTGGAGACTGGTGCACGATGAGAAGTTCGAATCAGGAAGACGCGTGCACAAGAAGGAGCTAGAGAAAAGGCTGAAAGATATGCAGGCCAACTTCGTGGCCTACGTGAAAGAGCTTGCGGAGAAGAAGAACTTTCCATGGACCAATGAAAGTCCAATTCGATATCACCCGCTGAACTAACAAAAGGTTCAGGTAGTTGGGGTGATGCAATGACAGCTGTGCATGACATAACACGTTACTGCATGTGAACCTTTTGAGACTGTTGCCCCTATCCGTAGGGAGGGGCTCGAGCACGCATAGCCCAAAGGAAAAGGGTGCATCTGCCTGCACCGACTGTGTGGCCTGGGTTGGTCACGTCCCTAGACCTCGTGCAATAACTGATAACTGTGATTATATTACATCATTATAATCCCATTAAAGTTTTTGCAGTTTATAAAATCATACATGGGATTTTAATGATATATATATATATATATATGTATAACCTTAGTTATAGGAGTTACTGGCATTATATCATTCTGAAATTCTATCTGGCATTATGTTTGGCATTTTATCTGAAATACATTTTACATATATATATACACATACGTAAATGCATGTATTCTGACGTTCTATCTGGCATTCTTTGTGGCATTCTATCAGACATCTGGCGCTTGCGGTTGAGGTCCGGCAGTGCCAACTGATATCTGGCGCTTGCGGTTGAGGTCCGGCAGTGCCCATTGAGATCTGGAGCTTGCGGTTGAGGCCCGGCAGTGCCCACTGAGATCTGGCGCTCGCGGAAGCGGGCGGCATGCAGCTCTGCTAAAATAAATAATCTATATAGAAAGCCTCACCCCTCACCTGGCAGGTGTGGAAAGATGAAAGTCATAGTTATAGATGGTTTTTTCAAAATCATTGGTAGAACCATCAACAATAGGGATGTCAACCATTGATGGGCATCAAAAATGATGGTGCGCCAGTTTGGATTTGTTCAAGATGAAAGCGAATTGGTTCGTCAGTAGAAAAATGTTCAGTAGGTTAACCATAGGATTTATGATATATGGTACGTATTTAAAGTAAGTGATGTGGAATAATTTAATCCTCCGATTTTCTGTTTCTATCATCCGTTTACGCCTGCAGTCTATTTTTTGTTTTGATGGTCATTCAATTTATTTGTGTAAAACCTCCAACCTAGTCTGCTAATATGCCTATAGTTACTAGAAAGATCCTGATTTTTACAGGAGAAAACAGGTACAACTCATGCCTCTCATGTGTTGACTCTATATCGGGGTAGTTTTCGGGTCGAGTGGATGAATAGCCATCCCCTTGTAGCGTCTGCAGCTAGCGGGAGCATCTCATCGCTCTTGCTTTGGTTGTTGCGTGACTTGGCTCGTAATTCAGAAAGTCACATTCCAATTCCAATTGAAAGCGTGTGCCCCACCTGCCCGATTTGCCCAGATATTGATCCGAACGATTTGATTTTTTGGAAGGGAGTCTTGTTTGGAATATTAGCTTGGCCATTCTTGGAAGCTTTGCTCCTTTTCAAGCAGTGGTTGTTGCTAGTGATCAAGAACAGATTGTACCGTGAGACTGGCGATAAGCTGTACAAAGTCTTGTGAAGTTTGCACTTTGAACGACCTTGGGCAATGGGCGCGAGGGGGTTCAGCCTGTGAAGTTCATTGAGCATTGATGGGCGAGATTGATTTGAACGATTTGGAGCAGTTCTGCCTTCTAGGAGAGGAGGGCTTGGAGCCTGAGTGTGCTATTGGGCGCTTGAACCTGGCCCTGGAGGGTAAACCTGAAAGTATTGCTATCATCCTGATTTGCCTTGCTGGTGACAGAGTTTTGGCTGGGATCCCACACAAAGCTTGGCACCGAAGAGCTGCCAACCGTTTGCTTCCAGCTGGCACCCTTGAGAAGCCGCTGAGCCTTGAAGTGGCTGCGTGCTCCCTTGAAAGCCGTCACGAGGCATTGCCGGGTGGTAAGTGCAAGATTTGGGTTGGTTTCCTTGCCAAGTCTTGGTTTTCAAGCCTGGACTTTGATTCGGACGAAGCTGCAATTCTTCAGTTTGTTTTATTAGATTCCGAGGAAGTATGCGCGCCTTTTGGGGAAGCACTGCAGGCGATTGCCGGGGACAAGTTCAACGTTGCTTTTGTTGGAAATTCAGATCCAGAACCAGCAGCCCGTTTGAATGCCTTGGAGTCGCAAGTAGCTCATATCCGTTCCGGTCTGGATGCTTTGTTAGCAGCTCAGGGTGTAAGGCCAACAGTTTTGGGAGAAGAGTCTGGATTTCAAACAGCGGAAGAGGTGGAGGTTCAGAGGCCAAGCCGCCTTGCTACGCCGCCTGGGTTGGGCGCCTTGCCAAAAGCACCTCCAAGGGCCAAAGACAGCGGAACTGCCTTACCTGGCTTGGATCCAGGTACAGTCGCTGCCGCCCTGCAATCAGGAGTTCCTATGAGCCACCTCCAAGCCATGAGTACTTTGGTGCAGGGGAAGCCAGGCAGGATGGGAGATGTGCCCAGGCGCAGCCCACCTGTGCCAGAAAAAGCTATCGATCCCTTGGACGACGACGCCGTGGCTGTAGAGGACATCGACGGCGAGCCGCTGGACCCTGCAATGGACCCTGTGGCCAAGGCCTTAGTTCAATTAACCCACATTGTCAGCTCTATGAACAAGCAAAAAGGGAAGAAGGAGACCCTGGAAGAGTCGCTCGATGCACTGGGAGGCCAGAGTTCTGGCTCAGCAGATCAACCAACTGTGACTGGCAAGAAGCATGTGAAGGCCATCGAAGCCTTGAAACAGGCCTTGCGGAAAGAACCACAAGTCATTTACAACAGCATAGAAAAGTTGATGGCCGAAGACTATGGACTCATGGGCCACTTGCCCAACGCCTCCTTGCCAAACATGACAGCAAGGGGGTGGGCGGAGCATCGGCCGCGAATCCAGGGATTCCCCCGAACGGTGAGATGGGTCTGGGGCGTCTGCGGTATATTGGATTGCCTCCGCAACTCAAACCCGGAGGAAGCCCGGGCCAGAGCATGCTTGATGCTCGCCCAAGCAGAGCAAGAGTCGATCGACAAAGGCAACTTTCTACTTGCACAAGAAATGTCCCTGGAACCACCACCTCCATATGCTTCGTTCACTGCGCATGTGATTCCAGATCCCATGGAAGTTCAATTCACCCGGATCATGGATGGCAGGTGGATAGATGCCTTTACTGCAAAGCTTCGCGATGCGGACGAGTACATCGAGCGCAGGCGGAAGCTTGGGCAACGGGGGGTTCATGCAAAAGAACATGGAAACCTCGAAAGCCCCTTGGCCAAAGCCAAGGCGAAGTTCAAACAAAAAGGCAAGGGCAAAGGAGATGGCGAACAAGGGGACTCTTGAGTGCTTCCGCCGAGGGACAAGTGGCTGAGGCAACTGCCTGCGGCGCTGTTGGTGGCATGCCTTCACTGTGTCCCTTGCCGAGTTCTTCCTCGTCAGGTCGGGGTCATTGTCTGGCCACCGACGCTTGCGGTCGGGGACATCTTGAAGGCTGCCCATCCAGCAGCCTTCAGGCTGATTGTGCCTCTTCTACTAGCTCCTCTAGCGATGCCACTCGTGGATCCCCATTGGATGGCTTTGACTTGGCCTCTAATTCAGTTGCAAGTGCGCAGACTGCTGTCAATTTTGAAGGTGCTGAGCCACAGGACGGCAGTCCACCGGCTGCCCACTTTGGGCCTGAGGTTTCCAGTGCGACAGATGGTGGTCTGTACAGTCGACGCTGTGCTGAGAGCCATTTCAATGTTCCTGGTTCCGGCGCTTCCACATTGCGGGCCAACTCCATTTGGGAGTCCCTGCACCGACATGTTTTTGCTAGCTCAAGCCACTTTGGGCATTTTTTCCGTTCTCTTGCGACCAAAGCCAGCAAGCCTCACGTCGGGGCTACGACTGCCAGTGTCTTTCCCATGCCACTTCCGTTTCCCGAAGTTTATATCAAAAAACGCACGAGCTGTCCCCATACTAGTTTCATGAAATTGATTAATCTGCAGATTGGGGCTTTGAATTGGCTCTATCTACATCAGCCTTACGAACCCCCCTCTACGATTTGTGGACATAAATGTCTTTCTGCTGTACAGCAAAGTGTGGTGGATAGATTTTGGAAGTTGGGAAAGGCCTGGCATGAACATCCGGCTATTCCTGCCAGTGACATGGGCAGGACGGCCGCTAAGCAGGAAAGCTTTGAAGACACACTTGCGAAGCTTAGCAGCTTTGCTGAAAAGAGTTTGCAGAATCATGGCCAATACAAAAAGAATCAGCGGCCTCGATGCCACAGCATGCCCAGTGGTAAAGTTGGCTCCGTTGTAGGAAAAATGACAAAAGGCGATTTATCGGGAGCGCAGCCCATAGTTGCGTCTCGAATAAAGATGGAAGGCTCTCCCACTTTTGACCCTTCTCCTTTCCTTGATGCTGAAACCAAAGACTTGTATATCCATCCCTTGGAGCATGCTATAGAACCTGAGCCTAGCACAGTTCCACCTAGGGTCCAAGTCCATGCCAGTTTTGAAGAAAAGCTTCGTTTGCTCAAGCTTCTTGAGAAAACAGACCGTTTGGCATTTAGGAGAATTTCTGACGTCCCCAAAGGGTATGGAAACGGCCTCTTTAGTGTCCCCAAAAACTTGCATGTTGATAGGCTAATCCTTGATGCTAGGCCTGCTAATTTGTTGCAAAATGCAAGCAATAAGTTTATTATGTCTATGGCGTCTAGTTGCACCCTGTTGGGTTTGCATTTGGAACCTTGGGAAAAACTTTTGATGTCAGGAGATGACCTGTCCAACTTTTTCTATTGTTTTTCAGTGACTGAGCAAAGGGTCACAAAGAATTTCCTTGAGTGGAAGGTGCCAGTGAGCGCCGTGCGCGGCATGAAAAGTTTTCCCTCTGAGCTTCAAGGGGAAAATTATGTTTATGCTTGTCTGGCGACACTAGCGATGGGGGATGCTGCAGCCTGTTCTTTTGCACAGACCAGTCATATTGCCATGGGGATTCAGTCAGGGGCTTTTGACCGTTGTAACCTGGTAACCCTACACGGTAGAATTCCCAGGGATCCTTTTGCTGCTGGCGTCATCATTGATGATCTGGTATTTCTCGAAAAAGTAGGTTGGGAGGTTGCGAAAGGCCCTCGCAGCACAGCAAGCCGAGCGGCCATGCATGACATTTACTCCAAAGTAGGCCTTGATCCTCATCCAGAAAAAGGTTTTGCCCATAAGACAATTGCCAACTTTTGGGGGTCACAGGTTGATGGAGAAATTGGATTGGTGCGAGCGAACATTTGTCGCAGCTTGTCGTTATGCTGGATTGCTGATCGCGTGGCGTCCCTCGGTGTGGCCAGTATCGGTTTGCTCGAAGCCTTGGCTGGTGGTTTTGTTTCTATTTTTTCTTATCGCCGCAGGATGATGAGTCTCCTGGATTCAGTCTATCGTGTCCAAGCTGGTAGGTCCCAAAAAGATATCATCAAACTGCCACAGTGTTTAGTCGATGAGTTGTACATTGCTTCGGCTCTTCTGCCACTGGCCGTGACAGACATTAGAGCGAGTTTCTGCGAAGCGCTGTATGCTGTTGATGCTTCAGACTGGGGGGAGGCGGTTGTCAAGGCCCATGTGGGAAAGCACCTCGGTAAGGAATTGCATCGCCATAGCCTGCAAAAGTCAGTTTGGACGAAGCTTCTTTCTCCTTTTAAATCTTGGCAAAAAACCCATGAATTATTAGACCCTTGTGATGAGCTCCCCGGTGAGTTTGATGAATACGTTGAACACCCTCTCTGGGAAACCGCATCCCGGGGTCTGCAATTTGAGCTGGTTTGTAAGTCACGGGCAAGACGTCGCCGTCACATCAACCTCGGGGAATTGAAAGCTTATCTTGATGCAGAAAGGGATGCCGGGCTGACCCAGGGGGATATCCGGGTCCCTATTCTTGGTGATTCACAGGTGTGTTTGGGCGCGATTGTCAAGGGTCGGTCTGCGTCTCCTGGTCTAAACCGCCTGCTCAAGTCCAGTCTTTGTCACCATCTCGGTTTGGGTATCTATTCTAGTGGTGCGTATGTTCGGTCATGTTATAACAGCGCGGATGACCCAACCAGAGGTCAGGCAATCCGCCGCCCTGACATAATCCTCCCTGGCTGGTGGGAAGATGCATGCGCTGGAAATTTTGGCCCCTTAGATGTTTTTTTGGAGGAATGTAACATGCACCCTTTCCAGTTAGATGGTGTCCCTAGCTTGAAAGAGCTGAACCTTCAAGATCCTTGTGTGGTTGGGAATGTGCCAAAATCCAAAGCTAGAAAGTTGAGGGAGCGGGTCAGAGCCAAACTCAGACTTCGTAAGGTGACAGCCCCAATCGAGGATAAGCATGTCCACCCATCTAAATCTAGAGAGTTTCCATGGGATTGCGAGTGCGACCGTGATCTGCTTAGCTTTTCTGAAGATTTGTTTGTTTTTGCAAAAGGTATCACCTGGCCACCAGAGCAGCCAGGCTTCCTAGATCTTTTCAGTGGCAATATGGGTTTTGCCAGAGCCGCAATAAACATGGGCGCCCCTTGGGTTCTCACACTAGATTGGAATGATGGGCCGCACTGCGATTTGCTCAAGGCCGATCTCAGATCCAAACTTGAGCGCATGTTGAGAGGAGGGGTCTTTATCCACTTGTCTGCAGCTCCTGTGTGCGCTTCATTTTCTAGAGCTATAACCCCTGCCATTCGGAATCACATCTACCCTAAAGGTGTTCCGGGAATGGGCCCCATCACTTTTAATAAGCTGCAGGAAGGTAATTCCCACCTTAGTTGGATTTGTTCGCTCATTAGAATTTGCATACTCAAGGGCATTCATTATTGGTTGGAAAATCCGGATTCCTCTCACATGTGGTATCAGCCCGAAATCTTGACGTTGCCTAACAATGCTTGCCAACGTTTTTATCGTGTTGATTTTTGCGCATTTAAGACGCCCTGGAGAAAACGTAGCAGATTCTTAACTTCTGGCAGATTGGCGAACACCAAGAAATTGTGCACGCGTGACCATAGACATATTGTACTGCGGGGTAGGTCTAGTAGACATGGAAAGTGTTGGACGAAAGTAGCTCAAGCTTACCCGACAGGGTTATGTGCCATGCTCGCTTGGTCAGCCTGTGCTGACACTGGCCTCCTGAGAAACCGACATGTTACCATTGGGGAAGTTGCGAAGTGCTGCGGTAACCGCATTGGCGAAGCAAGCCATCCCGGCCCACGGAGACCTACTGCTGTGGATTTTCGGTGCCAGAACCCTTTGAGCAGTGTGGAGCTCATTCGGCCAGAAACCGCAGCTTTCGGGTTGAAACAATGGGAACTTTTTTCACGTTGGTTTTTATCTCGAATGCCTGCAGATATTGAAGGTTCTTTTTGGGCATGCCCGCAACTCTTGGGTCATGCCATTGCGCAATACGGATATCACCTCTATGAATCTGGCGGAGCTCTCCATAGTTTGCGACACCTTTTGACTCATGTGCAGCGAACTGTCAGTGGAACGCGTGGCCACTTGGGACCTGCATGGGAAGTCGTCTCAAAATGGGAAGCCGTGCAGCCTGTGCAGCACCGCAGACCTATTCCTTTGAAACTGGTTGAAGCAATTGTAGGTCTTGCAGTTGCTTGGGGGTGGACCAGATTTGCAGTTGTAGTCTTGCTTGCTTTTTATGGGTGTTGCCGAACTGGTGAAGTGTTGAGGGCCCAAAGAAAGCACCTAGTATTCCCCAAAGACCTTTGCTTAGCTGAGACCGGTCATGCTTTGTTCATGCGCATTGTTGAGCCGAAACCCCGTCGAAGGGGCTTGGGAATGGTCCAGCATGCGAAGATTGGCGAGCCTGGAGTTGTCGCGTGGATTCAGAGTGTGTTATATGTTTTGCCTAGTGACGAATGGATATATCCCGGAGCTCCTAGTAGTTTCCGAAAAAGATGGGATTCTGTCATGGCTGCGTTGGAAGTTCCCAAGTCATTGTTGCTTACTCCCGGCGGCCTGCGGGCTGGCGGAACCGTTCAGCTCTACCGCAATGGGTGTGGTATACATGATATTCTTTGGTCCCTCCGACTCAAAAACATCGAAACCCTGCAGCACTACCTCCAGGAAGTGTCCACAGAGGTCACCATGTTCGATTTGTCTGCCAGGGCCAGGTATTTTATTTCGTGTGTTTCAGAGCTTCTCCCTTTTTTACTTCAGACCGCTAACTCTTGAGACGGGCAACCGCGGGAGCGCGCGACCTCACCGTCGCTGGCCACGTGCTATGAGTGGATTTGTCGTCGGCTTTCATTGACGCCTTGTTGCTGCTTCAGCCACGGTCACCACTTAGGGCATTTCCTTTCTTTTGGCTTGGATTCGATTGCGAGGATAAACTTGCACAGTGTGATTTTGATAGCCTTGCTTGTGTATTGACGCCTTATTTTGCTTTGCCGCCTTACGGAACGACAAACTTGCTTTGGCTCCTCCTGACCAAGTATTTCGTTGACGGCAGTGCATGTGCGTTAGCGCCTTCATTTGCTTTGGCCATCATGTGGGACATCACAGTTGCCTCTTGTTTAACTTTTTGGATCACATAGCCTTGTGGATTGTGGTGGTGGCTTTTGCATTTGCGTTATTCATGCCGGCATTCATCATCAGTACTACAGCTGGCAAGCAGGAGTTGGAAAAAGGGCAGGCGCGAGATGTGGGGGAGACACATGCACATTGGGGAAGCAGGCGACCCATTGACAGCTTACATTGCGTTAACGCGGGTCCAAGACAGGCATGGTTTGTTTGTGTACAGACCGTTCCCTGCAGCACCTTTTCAAAAAGGCGCAAAAATAGGGCGGGAATTGCTGTTGCGGTTCTGGGGTGGTGAAAAAATGGACTGGAGCGCGCTGCGAGCGAAATACCGAGACGAAAGGGAATGCAAAGAATGTAATGAATCAAAGCCGGCTTCTGGATTCACGGCTGGTCGATGGAAACGCACAGATGCGGCGAGAGTATGCAAAGAATGCATTCGTCGGCACGTTGAGAGGCAGATGCCGTGGCAATGCATGGCATGCACGGCCTGGAAACAGGAAGATGCATTCAAGGCAAAACATGCAAGCCCACAAGCCACATTTTATCGCATTTGTGCGACATGCGAACAGACGCAAGTGTGTAGTGTTTGCAATACGCGCAAGGACGAAAAGAAATATTCTGCCGGGGCGTGGAGACGAGCACGCACGGGCGGTAGAGTGTGTTTAGATTGTTCGGGTAAAGCATGGGGCCTGTGGAGATGCAGCGTCTGCAAGGTGAAGCAAGCAGCGTGCGCTTTTGAACCGTGGCTGGCGCAACATCGTTCGTGTAATGGTGACCAAGTTTGTAGCAACTGCTGGAAGTGCCCCATTCCCCGGGCAAGCATCAGCAAAGCGGTACAGCGGGTAGCTGCAACGCAGGCAAAAGTCGCGAGGACGGCAGCGGAAGAAAAAAAAGTACGTGCCATCGCCGGTGTCTGGGACGCCATCGCGGAACGAAAACGCAACAGAGAACAGAATAGCTCCCAAATGAAGGACGCAGAGCCGAAGGCAAAACATCCCAAACAAGAGAACCGAACAGAAATGAGCACAGACGGGCCTGAAGATGGACGTGGCCAACGGGAAGACAGCGACGAAAGGCAGAGGGCGGTGCGGGCGACGACTGATGTCTGGGCTGCCAGCGTGGAACGAAAACGGAAAACAAAGGACACCGCCCAAATGCAGGAAGCCCAGCCGCAAGCAAAGCAACGTAGAGAAGACGGCGGAACGGAAAGAAGCACAGACAGGCAGGCAGAAATGAGCTGCAAGCAGCAGAGCAAGGGCAGCGCGACGGAGATGGTGACGTTGCTGGCAGATGGAGCACAAGCAGGGGGGAAAGGCAAGAGTTTCCAATATGTTTGTCCCGCTTGCCAAAAGTCTGTGAGGAGCAGTATACGCACGGGCCAAGTAGATCACCGGCGCGCATGTGGTAACCGTTTCCAGGGGTGGGATGCGCAGGTCGTTGCGAAAGGGTATGTGTATATTTGCCCTGCTTGCAAAGGGAATGTGGCCAGTGACGTGAAGACAGGGCAAATCGACCATCGAACGGTGTGTGGGAACAAGTTTTCTGTGAAGGACGGCATTGTGAAGGACAAAGCGTATGTTTACGTTTGCCCCGCTTGCAAAGGGAATGTAGCCAGTGACGTGAAGACAGGGCAAATCGACCATCGAACGGTGTGTGGGAACAAGTTTTCTGTGAAGGACGGCGTTGTGAAGGAAAAAGCGTATGTTTACGTTTGCCCCGCTTGCAAAGGGAATGTAGCCAGTGACGTGACGACAGGGCAAATCAACCATCGAACGGTGTGTGGGAACAAGTTTTCTGTCAAGGACGGCGTTGTGAAGGACAAAGCGTATGTTTACGTTTGCCCCGCTTGCAAAGGGAATGTAGCCAGTGACGTGAAGACAGGGCAAATCGACCATCGAACGGTGTGTGGGAACAAGTTTTCTGTGAAGGACGGCGTTGTGAAGGACAAAGCGTATGTTTACGTTTGCCCCGCTTGCAAAGGGAATGTGGCCAGTGACGTGAAGACAGGGCAAATCGACCATCGAACGGTGTGTGGGAACCAGTTTTCTGTCAAGGACGGCGTTGTGAAAGAAAAAGGTGGCAAACGGCAGGCTTGAACGCCGAGAGGAAGCCATGGATCTGGCTTTGGGGTACATTTGAAACGATGGATCTGGCCTTGGGGTAGCTTATGCCTGCACGGTTGGGCATCCCAGACGCTTGGACAGAGTTTTAACGGTTGTAAGCTGCGCGGTTGGGCGTCCCATACGCTGTGGCAGAGTTTTAACGGTTTTAAGGGTTTTAGGGGTTTTAGGGGTTTAAAGGCTGGCAAACGGCAGGCTTGGACGCCCATAAGAAGCCTAAGAAGCCATTGTTGTGGCCTTGGGGTGCCTGTTGGCATGGACCGCGCTGAGAAGAAACGATGGATCTGGCCTTGGGGTAGCTTATGCCTGCGCGGTTGGGCATCCCAGACGCTTGGACAGAGTTTTAACGGTTTTAAGCTGCGCAGTCCCATACGCTGTGGCAGAGTTTCAACAGTTTTAAGGGTTTTAGGGGTTTTAGGCGTTTTAGGGGTTTTAGGGGTTTTAGGGGTTTAAGGGCTGGCAAACGGCAGGCTTGGACGCCCATAAGAAGCCTAAGAAGCCATTGTTGTGGCCTTGGGGTGCCTGTTGGCGTGGACCGCGCTGAGAAGAAACGATGGATCTGGCCTTGGGGTAGCTTATGCCTGCGCGGTTGGGCATCCCAGACGCTTGGACAGAGTTTAACGGTTTTAAGCTGCGCGGTTGGGCGTCCCATACGCTGTGGCAGAGTTTTAACGGTTTTAAGGGTTTTAGGGGTTTTAGGGGTTTAAGGGCTGGCAAGTGGCCTTGGGGTGCCTGTTGGCGTGGACCGCGCAGAGAAGAAACGATGGATCTGGCCTTGGGGTAGCTTATGCCTGCGCGGTTGGGCATCCCAGACGCTTGGACAGAGTTTTAACGGTTGTAAGCTGCGCGGTTGGGCGTCCCATACGCTGTGGCAAATTTTTAAAGGTTTTAAGGGTTTTAGGGGTTTTAGAGGTTTTAGGGGTTTTAGGGGTTTAAAGGCTGGCAAACGGCAGTCTTGGACGCCCATAAGAAGCCTAAGAAGCCATTGTTGTGGCCTTGGGGTGCCTGTTGGCGTGGACCGCGCTGAGAAGAAACGATGGATCTGGCCTTGGGGTAGCTTATGCCTGCGCGGTTGGGCATCCCAGACGCTTGGACAGAGTTTTAACGGTTTTAAGCTGCGCGGTTGGGCGTCCCATACGCCCAGAAGAAGCGATGGATCTGGCCTGAGGCGTTTTAGGCGTTTTAGGGGTTTTATGGGTTTTAGGGGTTTAAGGGCTAGCAAGTGGCCTTGGGGTGCCTGTTGGCGTGGACCGCGCTGAGAAGAAACGATGGATCTGGCCTTGGGGTAGCTTATGCCTGCGCGGTTGGGCATCCCAGACGCTTGGACAGTTTTAAGTTTTAACGATTTTAAGCTGCGCGGTTGGGCGTCCCATACGCTGTGGCAGAGTTTTAACGGTTTTAAGGGTTTTAGGGGTTTTAGTGGTTTTAGGGGTTTAAAGGCTGGCAAACGGCAGGCTTGGACGCCCATAAGAAGCCTAAGAAGCCATTGTTGTGGCCTTGGGGTGCCTGTTGGCATGGACCGCGCTGAGAAGAAACTATGGATCTGGCCTTGGGGTAGCTTATGCCTGCGCGGTTGGGCATCCCAGACGCTTGGACAGAGTTTTAACGGTTTTAAGCTGCGCGGTTGGGCGTCCCATACGCTGTGGCAAATTTTTAAAGGTTTTAAGGGTTTTAGGGGTTTTAGGCGTTTTAGGGGTTTTAGGGGTTTAAGGGCTGGCAAACGGCAGTCTTGGACGCCCATAAGAAGCCTAAGAAGCCATTGTTGTGGCCTTGGGGTGCCTGTTGGCGTGGACCGCGCTGAGAAGAAACGATGGATCTGGCCTTGGGGTAGCTTATGCCTGCGCGGTTGGGCATCCCATACGCTTGGACAGAGTTTTAACGGTTTTAAGCTGCGCGGTTGGGCGTTCCATACGCTGTGGCAGAGTTTTAACGGTTTTAAGGGTTTTAGGGGTTTTAGGGGTTTAAGGGCTGGCAAACGGCAGGCTTGGACGCCCATAAGAAGCCTAAGAAGCCATTGTTGTGGCCTTGGGGTGCCTGTTGGCATGGACCGCGCTGAGAAGAAACGATGGATCTGGCCTTGGGGTAGCTTATGCCTGCGCAGTTGGGCATCCCAGACGCTTGGACAGAGTTTTAACGGTTTTAAGCTGCGCGGTTGGGCGTCCCATACGCTGTGGCAGAGTTTTAACGGTTTTAAGGGTTTTAGGCGTTTTAAGGGTTTTAGGGGTTTTAGGGTTTTAAGGGCTGGCAAACGGCAGGCTTGGACGCCCATAAGAAGCCTAAGAAGCCATTGTTGTGGGCGGTTGGGCGTCCCATACGCTGTGGCAGAGTTTTAACGGTTTTAAGGTTTAAGGCGTTTTAAGGGTTTTAGGGGTTTCAGGGGTTTAAGGGCTGGCAAACGGCAGGCTTGGACGCCCATAAGAAGCCTAAGAAGCCATTGTTGTGGCCTTCGGGTGCCTGTTGGCGTGGACCGCGCTGAGAAGAAACCATGGATCTGGCCTTGGGGTTGTTGCTAAGAAAGACAAGTTCCACACCTGAGGTGGTCCCAGGCGCCGCCCCTGCCTTGGCTAAGGCCGGGGTCGGCGGATAACCCTTATAGGGTGTATCAACCTGGGTGACGCTTTTCGGGGTTATTTTATAAGGGTCAGTGATTTATAAAATGACAAGACAGGATTTTAGCACGTACTGCCAGTATATAAGGGACATGTTTGTTTAAAATCAATGGATCTAAGATTTTGTAACATTTGGATTTGTCGTTGTGTAAAACCAACCTTTGGGAATTACCATTTTATAAGGGGTATCCGTATAAGATGGCGCCACCCAGGTTCCAGTCAACATTATAAGGGGGAAGTCCATATTATCATAATAGTTATTGGCACATCATGCATATTCCCTATTGCTACTATTGTTATTTCATGGAGGCTAGGGAGGTAAGTGGGGGTCTAATAAGAGCCTTACACGGAAGACCCTTAATAAACCTTTATATTATAAGCTACCTACCCCCCCGGGCCCCCCAGCTTCCATGATTATTACTATGATTACTATGATTATTATCATTATCATCATTATCATCATTATCATCATTATCATCATTATCATTGTATAATATATTGCTATAACCATTATATAATACATTATTACTAATCATTACTATCATTTTTACTATCATCATGATATTGCTATTATCCTTCTCATTATCATCGTATGAATATTCCAATTCCTGTCACGGATTCCCCCAAGGCTTCGGTTCCCTCTGTGTCGGGGATTCTCGCCTGGCCACGGAGAAAGTGATCCGCGCCCTGATGCGAGCGAGCCTGGGCCATGGCCAACGTGGCCAATGTTACGGGGAAAACATGGTGAGTTCATTTTCATGGATTTTATCATTTTTTGTATGGGATTTGTATGGAAATTATGGGATTTTTATAGGATTTGTATGGAAATTATGAGATTTTATGGGATCTAATGGGATTAACAAAATGCATTTGATGCATTTATTCGTACAGATTTATCCACGAAAACTGGGATTTCAGCAACAGACACATGGCCAACATGGAAGCCTCTGCCTCCCCCAAACGCGTGGCCTAAAAGGGCGGCCCAAGACCATCAAAATTGATAAAGTTGGTCATATGTTTAACAAGGAAACCAATGTTCCGTCAGTTTATTCAATCTAGACTTACCATGGTAATTGTGGTAATTGTGGTAATGATGGTAACTTAGCAAGTAATCAATCGCAATCATTGATAATTACTTGATCTTGACAGCAATCTGATTGCTCCAATTGGTCATTTATGGTTCGCTGAGTCCCTAATTATGAAACACAACCCACTTCAACATGGATGTTTCAAGCGTCTGAAGAGCCTTGTTGAAGGGTATCGTAACGTGAGTTTAATTTCAGATCATCAATGATGCGATATGATGGGATATTAAACTGGAGCCAACTAAATGCACCCTTAACCAACCAACTTTTGGAGGTTAGTTTTTCATTAACATCAATTTCCAAGCGCAACTCAAAACGCATTTCCTTTGTTGGCCAGGGTTCGCTGCGGAAAGTCCTCCAGCCCTTGACCGATCCGTATCCGTCGCAGGAAAGGAGACCTTCGTTGTGTCATGGCCGGTGGATGGGCCGGGTTAAGCCCAGCATCTTTGGACGAAACCATGGAGGACTTTGTGAAGCTCACGACGCTGCTTGGCGAAGGGGTTTTTATCAGAAAAGATCGACAAATGGGGGATTCAATGGGGATTTAAGCATCAACAAGATGATATATTATATAGTCAAGCACCACCATTTCCATTGGGCTGGGGAATCAAAAAATCGAAGCCCCAAACGTTGAACCAGAAAAATGCTGGTAATGATGTAGTCGGTTGACTTTCGAAACTCCGGAAAGACTCTCATGTTTGGATATGAAGTCTGCATAGCCCATTCAAATTTTTCCGTTTTAGGGTCAGTTTGAAATTAGGAAACACATATCTGACATTGTGTCCGAAACTTTAGACTTAATTCTTTTGGTTACCGCCCCACCGCCCCATTCATTTTCATGAACCCTCACACACACACACACATACAAACACACAAATCAGGTGTCCAACCAAGCTCCTATCTTTTGCGGTCCTTGCACCATTGACATCCATAGGTAAATCCCCAGGACCGGTTTCTGTTCAAACATACATAGCTTTGGTTGGACTCTCATGTTTCTGTCTCTGAGACGCACTCCAAAATCCCAGGGTTTATCGGAATTCCATTTTCAGACACACAAGCATCATATTCCACATGTTTTTTGATTTCTAGCTCCCATCATTTCCATCCATTGTCACCTCACTTTCATTTTTCCACCCAACTTTCCCAGATTCGTGGAGATGTTGATATATTTGATATGTTCCATTCATTTTCCCCCACTTTCCAATGTTTTCTCAGCCATTTTAACATCAGATTCGTGGAGCAAAACGTCTTCCAGCTGTCCGCGGTGCCCCACGACTGGCTGCTGCCCTTCTGCTGCGGCGCCGTGCACCACGGCGGCGCCGGCACCGTGGCGGCGGTGTGTCGCGCCGGGATCCCGCAGGCGGTGCTTCCTGTGGCGTGGGATCAGCCGTGGTGGGCAGAGCATTTGGAGCAGATGGGACTGGGTGCTGCGGCAGATTTCATGGCGCTTTTTTAAAGTTGGGTTAGTGGGTTCAATGTGAGTAATGTTGGGTTTTATTGGATATGGATATGTGCTATTCGGGTTTCAAGTTGGTTTTTCATGGGGTAATGTTGGGTTTTATTGGATATGGATATGTGCTATTCGGGTTTCAAGTTGGTTTTTCATGGGGTTTACATACTTGCCTTTTTATGGGGTATTTAATTGGTCTTCATGGCTTTGAATGACTTTAAATGTTTGGCGTTCAATGGGTTTGAATGTAGTAGACCCAACACTTTCACTTGGGATGGTTTATACCATCCTTTTCTACTTGAAATTGGGGACGGTTCACCACTTGAATGGGTTTTAAGGTGTTGAAGCCTATATGGGTATGGCGTCAAACTACTGGACCCTCAAAACGGGTGGTTCCCTAGCAATGACCAGCCAGTTGTGGCTCCAAAAACGCTACCCCTTTTTTGAACAGCCAAGTGTAATTGAGGGATTTTGGGGAAAGGGCGATGTGTAGCGTTTGGGACCCAATGTGTAGTGATATTATATGATATTATATGGTCCATATAGGTGATGGTCCTTTTAGAGAGGCCGAAAGCAATGAATTGCGTGTGTGTCTGTTACATTCTATTATATGATTTGATTAGGTGTTCTAAGATCATTTCAGAATCACACTACTTCCTTTCCATGAAGTGTAATGAATTCCCAAGATGCATCCTTTTTCACCAGTTTCGCACGGGGGTCAAGCTGCCCAAAGATCCTGCAAAGGCATCAACCTGCACCACATGATCTCCCAGGCCGAGCTGGAATATGAGTGGGATCATCTGCTGCATCCACCTCCTTATACTCAATATATCTCAATATCTCATATCAGACCTCATCATACCTCATCCTTCTCACATCTCATCATAAGCCCTGGACCCATGACAGGTTGATGAGGACTCACTCTGTGCCGCCTTCGAGCGATTGGCCTTCGACCCCCAGCTGGCCACGGCTGCAGCAGCACTGGGCACGCAGATTGAAGGGGAGAGGAACCAAGGGCAGCTGCAATTGGCCGACTTCGTAGAGCAATGTCACTTGGTCCTGGCTTCTTAAAGATCGGATTCAAGAGGCAAGGAAACTATGAAGTTGAGCAAACCTAGTGATATTACAAATATAACATTCCTCAATTGGTTGGTGGGATCGTATAAGAAAGTTTCGGACCATAAAAATCATGCATGGTCATTTTGTTTGGCACCGAACTGTTCAGTATCGTCCAATTGTTGGGGGCATGTTTTATGCAAATTGTTGGTTTCTATACCCAATTTTGACCCACAGATGGGAGAGCCGGTGGTTTCTTTCAAGTATTGGGAGGATCAGGTAATATCAGGCATCATCAGGGACTAAACAGACAACAGCTTATTGGTGGTTTTCATTATTCCTGTTTCCTATCCCTTGGGGTCATTGTAGCGGGAAGCACAAGTCTTTTTGCCTCAACTTTCATGATGTTTCACCATTTGTCACCATGGTTTTTATCATTCTTCACTTTGTCAAGAGTCGTTCACCATTTTTCCATCCATTTTTTCCTTGTTTTCCACATCTTCCAGGCCCTGCGGCGCAGGGGTTTTTTCAGGTCTGGACATGCCTCACCCCTGGGCGACCGCGACGTGTCCGGCCACAACGCCCCAGCCGCCTCTGTGGTGTCGTAGTGTGGAGGATTTGGAGGCGCGGTCGCCCAGGGGTTGTTGGGAGATCTGCAGAATATGTTGCCCTCCAGTAAATTAACATAGACCCTGGTAGATAGGGGTTGGAAGATTCGTTTCCTCTATAAAACGGTGATTTTCAGGGTCTATGTCTATGTTAATTTACCAGAGGATAGTACATATTCATATATATATATATATAATGCTTTGATTATGATAAGATATGTTAATTATGAATGCAAAAATTGATTAGGATTAGAATATATTAGAATTATTCTTCACAATACCATCAAGGATATTATGACAACCGGATGTTATAGGAGAAGTGTTAAAGTATATACTGTAATGATAATCTAATACCCTTCAGTAAACTAACATAGCTAATGCAATATCACCAGTTTTCACAGGTAAGTTATTCATCAATGGGCCATGTTCTATAGCTTTGGTAAATCATTGGAGGGGTGGGTAAAAACAATATACATCATAGGATATTAATATGTAGATGGTATTATGACAAGAGGATGTCATAGGATACCATTATAAGATAGACTATAGGATATTGTTTGAGTCTATCCTGAGAATATGTTGGACTTTATCACACTATGATATCACAGGGAAACTACCATATTGTATGATGATAAGACTAATCTACTAGTATATCCCCCTTACCATTTCCACTACTAAAAGGGTGAACACGTGCTTGGTACCATCCTCTGATTCGTGGATAATTCAAGCAAAAAAAATGGACCCGTGCACCAGTTTCTGTAGTAAAAGGGTGTGCACTGTATCTTGTAGCGGCGTTCCATTTTACACTCATAAATCGGAAACGCATTTTGTAGTGATTTATTTTGGGATGCGTTGTGTCGTGCCGGAAACCCTATAGCCCTCTTTTACCAGTCATGCTCCGTCACATGAACATATAGCTTGGACCCTCAGACCATTTTTGGCTCTTGACTCACGATTATTTCGTGGTAAGATGAGCCCCCAAAAATTCGAAAAAAAACAAATAAGGTAGAGACTTTAAGACGGAAAAATGGGACAGACTTGGTTTCAAAACCCATCAATTGAATTTGAAGTTGTGCGCTCAGATCGTTTTTAGCTCTGACGATTGCAGTTCAAAACCTCTGCGCCGTGCTTTTGTCACACCTTTTTTGGCCATCACATGCGATTATTAATTAAAATCTAAATCTATCCCATTCTACTAGGTTCCTGCTCTTTTTGTCCAATAGTCAAGTTTCACCCCAGTTCAACGAATCCATGCTCAGAGTTCCTTTCACCCACAATGTCACAAAGCACAGATTCGATACGTGATGTCCTAGTTTCTGGATGACTTTTGTCACGCACTGCATTTTGTAGTGACACACGCGTGCACAACCTTTTGTAGAACCTACTGCGCCCCCCTCCAGATAAGCCCCAAAAAGTTCGAAAAGCATGCTTTTTATGTAGAGACTTTAAGAAGGAAAAATGGGACAGATTTGGTTCAAAACCGATCAATTGAATTTGAAATTGTGCGCTTAGATCGTTTTTGCTGCCCCATAGCTCTGACGATTGCAGTTCAAAACCTCTGCGCCGTGCTTTTGTCACACCTTTTTTGGCCATCACATGCGATTATGCGATTATTAATTAAAATCTAAATCTATCCCATTCTACTAGGTTCCTGCTCTTTTTGTCCAATAGTCAAGTTTCACCCCAGTTCAACGAATCCATGCTCAGAGCTCCTTTCACCCACAATGTCACAAAGCACAGATTCGATACGTGATGTCCTAGTTTCTGGATGACTTTTGTCATGCACTGCATTTTGTAGTGACACACGCGTGCACAACCTTTTGTAGAACCTACTGCGCCCCCCTCCAGATAAGCCCCAAAAAGTTCGAAAAACATGCTTTTTATATAGAGACTTTAAGGAGGAAAAATGAGACAGATTTGGTTCAAAACCGATCAATTGAATTTGAAATTGTGCGCTTAGATCGTTTTTGCTGCCCCATAGCTCTGACGATTGCAGTTCAAAACCTCTGCGCCGTGCTTTTGTCACACCTTTTTTGGCCATCACATGCGATTATTAAATAAAATCTAGATCTATCCCATTCTACTAGGTTCCTGCTCTTTTTGTCCAATAGTCAAGTTTCACCCCAGTTCAACGAATCCATGCTCAGAGTTCCTTTCACCCACAATGTCACAAAGCACAGATTCGATGCGTGATGTCCTAGTTTCTGGATGACTTGTGTCATGCACTGCATTTTGTAGTGACACACGCGTGCACAACCTTTTGTAGAACCTACTGCGCCCCCCTCCAGATAAGCCCCAAAAAGTTCGAAAAGCATGCTTTTTATGTAGAGACTTTAAGAAGGAAAAATGGGACAGATTTGGTTTCAAAACCGATCAATTGAAACTGAAGTTGTGCGCTCAGATCGTTTCTGCTGCCCCATAGCATTTCCCCTAGTAAATGCTATGACCCATTTAGTAGCGAATCATTATTTTCATTGCAACCCGTTTTCACTACAAAATGGCTCCGTAAAGTCATTTTGTAGTGACCGACATTGGCTTTTGATCCATCATAAAAACACCCAAACCATTTTGTAGCAAGGGGGGTTGGTTCAGATTCAAGCTTCATTTTGTAGTATAAGGCTGTGTTTGTAAACGGTTTAGTGGGCACAACTTCTCTGCAGAACGCACACAGGGATCTAGTATAGTATCGTTATATTGGTAATATCGACGATGATTCTCCGGTAATAAATTATGGTAGGGAGTATCAATCAAATCATAAGGGAGAATGTCAGTTGAGTATTATCTAAGAAAGTATATAGAGAGATAATGTCAAAAATACGGTAACGCGTATTTTCTTTTTTTTGGCGTGGGGAGGTTATATGTATATTCATTGCCACAATGTAGTTTTTACTTTGATTTGTTAGTAGAACAGTATTGTGCATAAATTTGGTGTATAGATTGGGGGATTTGTAGCAACTTGTAAAGTTGGCACATTTTTTTTCTATAGGATTTAGAGTCTATAGAGTTTTGAGGACCAGGATATGGCTTTTTTGTGTTCCCATTGATCGCATTTGACAATTTTAGGATCTTGGGGATCTTGGGGATAGAATTGATCGCTGCAGGTTGTGCAGGTTACTTGTACTCACCCAATTTTTGTGGGATGTGCTGCAGTAGGTTGAAACATGTACCATCAAAAGGGGCATTTTCAAGAAGAAACTAGTTGCAAATCATGGTTTGCTGATGGTTTGTTTGGGTTTGCATTGGCTGATTACAAAGAGATTACCAGCTAGTCCTCAACCAAGCAACATGCAGATATACTGCAAAGCGTAGCCGGTGAATGGAATGTGATAATTATTCTTCTGAAAACAACGGGTCTAATTGGTAAAGCATCTATAAACGGGCAATTTTCCGGAGCTATGTTAGATTACTGGAGGGTATGCATTTATTTATGTGGAGGGATATGAGGTTTGAGAGGTTAAATGATGACGATGCCACCTTGAGTGTTGTTCATTCTAACCTCAAGTCAGCTGGTTTCTGCTTGGGTCCAATACGTTTATCCCATGAGCTCATCGACCGGATCAACCCCAGTTCTGTATTTTGATATATTACAATATGTTATATATACGAATTATGCCAAATGAGATAGATGTAAATCTCTCTCTCTATATATATATATGTAGAAATATGTAATATATATATGTAATATATATATTATATATACACTGTATATATATATACACTATATATATGCATATATATACACACTATATATACACTAGATATACACTATATATACACTAGATATACACTATATATACACTCTATATACACTCTCTATATACATATATATATACACAGTATATATATATACATTGTATGTATACAGTATATATATATATATGTATATACACAGTATATATATATCTATACACACAGTGTATGTATATATATATATACATACACTAGATATACGCTATATATACACTATATATACACTATATATATACACTAGATACACACTATATATACACTATATATACACTATATATATACACTATATATACACTATATATATACAATATATATATATACACTCTATATACACTCTCTCTCTATATATATATACATATATATATACAGTGTATATATATATACAGCATATGTATATATATATACAGTGTATGTATATATGATGCAGCCCTCCAGGTCCCCCCCCCCAAAATGGGTATGGGTATACAAGAGCTATGTTCCCGCCCCCCGCCCCTGTGGGTGGGTGGGTGGGGGGTGGTAGTAGTAGTAGTAGTAGTAGTAGTTGTTGTTGTTGTTGTTAGTCGTAGTGAATAGTAGTTAGTAGTAGGAATGGGTATGGATATACAGGAGATATGTTCCCCGCCCCCCCTGTGGGTGGGTAGGGGGGTGGGGGAGGTTAGTAGTAGTTAGTAGTAGTGAGTAGTAGCTAGTAGTAGGAATGGGTATGGATATACATGTATATATATATATGCTTATACGTATATACATATTATATATGTATGTATATATATATATCTATCGATTATATATATGTATGTATGTATGTGTACATATACATATATATATATATATGTGAATATGTATATATACATATGTATATATATATGTATATATATGTATATATATATATGTATATGTATATTTAAATACGAATATGTATATATATATATATATATTTGTATGTATGTATGTTATGTAATGTAATGTAATGTAATTTAATGTAATGTAATGTAATTTAATGTAATGTAATGTAATGTATGTATGTATCTATAACTTGTGTATATATATGTATATACATAGGAAGTAGATACATAGCACATGTATATATGACTATAGGTTGCACGTAGGTACTTTGAGGGAGTATGTGTGCTATGTAGGTCGTCTAAAAGGTAGCATGTACCTAGTAAATGCGAGGCTGGTAGTCAGAATCGCTGCAAAAACCTAGCAAATAGGAGGCTGGACTTCAGAAATGCTGCCAATAGCTTGCAAATAGAAGGGAAGGGGGGGTGCTATCTGGGGACCCATCCCATTCGGGGGGGGGGACCTCGCGGGCGGAAGACGGGATCA